CTCCCTCTGCTTGTGTTCCCTCTCTCGCTATGTCTCTCTCTGTCAAATAAATAAAATCTTAAAAAAAAAAAAAAAAAAGAAAAAGAAAATGACCCTAAAAAACACAAATGACTTCATATTCCCTATTGTTCTACAATGTTCTAAAATTAAAAACATATCTTTCCAAGCCAAGACATACAGAAGTAACTCTTTTTAACGACTGCATAGTATTCGTAAGTCTGGACAGACTGGTTTGTTGAAAACCACTTTCTCATTGTTGGACAATGGACCCTTTCCAGCATTTCGTTGTTGTTAGTGCTGTACGGAAAATCCTCATATTCATCTTTTTGTGCACATGTGTATTTCTGTGAAGTAGATACTGAGAAATGGTACTGTCAGGGCAGTAGATGATACATTTTAATGTTCAGTTTATACTGCCAAATTACAGTCCGCCAACAGCATATGAGAATGTCTGTTTGTCTGCATTCTCACCACTAAGTTTTTCATCCAGCATCATGGGTGACATAGTATCATGTTATCATTTTCATTGGTATTTCCCTAGTTTTTACCAGTGATTTTTACCATCTTATCATGTGTTTATTGACCACTTTCTTTCTCTTTCAGACATTGCCTGTCTATATCTTATGCCCACAGTCTGTTGTTTCCTCTTAATATAAATGATTTTTAAGATTTTATTTTTAAGTAATCTGTACACCCAGTGTGGGATTCAAACATACAACCCCAAGGTCAAGAGTCGCAGGCTCCACCGACTGAGCCAGCCAGGCACCCCTAAGTGATCATTTTTTAAGTTTATTTCTCTATCCATGCAATCTCTACACCCAGCGTGGGGATCAAACTCACAACTCCCGAGATCAAGAGTCTTCTGACTCTGAGCCAGCCTAGTGCCCATAAATGATTTGTCTTTTTTTTTTAATTCTGGATGTCCATCCTTGATTTGTTACATATGTTGCAATCTCAGCCCTAGCTTGTCTTTAAATTTACGATGCCTTTTCTTATACAAAACTTTGAAATGTGTACTGTGATCAGATTTATCAGTTTCTTCCTGCTGCGTCTGCCTTCTGTGGCTTAAGAAGGCATTGCCTATCCCAAAGTGATAAGCCTTACTTTTCTGTGTCTCTCAGAATAACATTCTGGGGGGCTTAATCACACAGCTCTGTTTTCAGGTGGAGAGGAGTTGATGCCCCCTCCTGTAAGCTGACCTTTCCAGAGCAGGCCCCTCTGTCAGCTCGCTGCTGTGTTCCCCAGGGCAGGGGCCTCCGTGGGATGCTGGTTCTGCAGTCATATCACGTTGCACATTGGACTTCCTGACACCTCGCTGAAGTGGCAGAGAAGCCTGCATTACTGTAGGCCCCGGTGACCACAGGCCTGAGCAAGCCAGTCCTCCCCTTAAGCCAGGCAGAAGCTCTAGACTGAAAAGAGAATGCAAGAAGGAAGTGAGAAGGCTCACAGCTCTCTCTAGTCTTAGGTAGCAGGAGCTTCTTGGATGCAGATGATGGAGACATTTTTCCGAATTTTCTACATGAGGTCAAAGCTCTGATTCCTTATCCTCAGGGTGTTATCATCGTAACCCCCACTTCCCTATAAGGAAAATGAGGCCGAGGAAAGCCAAATGTGTAGATTTAATTTTATGTTAAGACGCCAACTCCAAGTTCTGCTTAGAATCCATCTTAGTATGATAGAAGGGAAGCTTTGGTGAGTTTCTTATCACTCACCAGACAATGTTTCTATGGTTCGTCCTTTGAAGGAGGTGCTTTCTCCCTGTTTTACAGATGAGAACACTGAGGCTCAAGAGAGAGAAGGTCATGTAATCAGGACACACAGAAGGTAAATAAGTAGAAGATCCAGAGCTGAGCCTCAGAGTTCATGCCTTCCTCCCGTTCCACTCCTCTTTCAGAGGATTTGCAAAAAGTACACAAAGCTACCTGCATAAGAAAAGCACATTGTTTTTTCTCCCCTTTATCCAGCAACTCGCTCTGGCTGCTACTAGGGAGTTGTCTCCACCAAATGGGTGTTTTCATTTTTGCTCCTTTGAAATGTAAAATAAGGCACACACCATTTGGAAATCACTTAACTTTTAAGGGACACCTTGAAGGTTTCCTCCAATGGAATTCATTAATTTAAAGTCCCTGTATTTTAACTAATTGAAAATTTGAACAAGCTAGCGAGTTCTGTTTATCTCCAGCTCCTATTCCTTTCAAAGCACTGCGTGAACTTCATCTGAGAATCATTTTCAGCCAGGTTGTTTTTAGTACATGCCATCTATTTTTGTTAGTGGGAATGTTTGCCGTTTCTTCCAAGAGAGTTAACTATAAATTATATGGCAGAGAACTTCTAAGTAAATATGTTCATGCCTCAGCACTTTAATGTGTTAATTAGCTATTAAAGGTGTCAGTAAATTAGACCTGTCAAAAATAATGGCCTCCTTGACTAGGTTTTTACTGCCACTTCACTCGATGGTGTTACTTACAAGTTTTGCCCTCTGGGACTGTTAAAAAGCAAGGTTGTAGAGGTCTGCCTTGCAAAAGATAAACTCTTGAGTTTGTTGAAAGTCACCTAAGGCCTGCGTCTGTGGGTGTTTTAAGGACTGGTAGCCCTGAATTTACACAACCCGGGCTTCCCAACACCCGGATTCCGTCTACAGCCGACAGCCAGGGGGTGCTTTATCCTGCGGAGAACCCCAATCCCTGCTCTTTGCTCCCTGTTTCAGAAAATGTAGCCAGTGATTTGCTGGTCAGGTGCCTTTGTGCATGCAGTGGGTTAGCGGGTTACCCCTGCTGTTGGAGGCTGGAGGGTTCTGGTTGGTACTGAGGAAGGACCTGAGCACTTCAGACACAGTATTTCTCCTCTCCTGCTTGTTCCAGGAGACCAGTCCTTCTGCAGGCCTGAGGGCTGAGACAGGAGAACAGAGTGAGAACCTCAGAAAGAAGTATTATGAGTAAACGGTTGAATAAAGTTTAAAGACTACTGGTATTTTCATATTAAGTCATATTAAGGATTGAATGCCCCAGCCTGAGATTCTTACCACCATTTACATCTGGGAAAACACATTCCGTGTTCTAAATGATCAGATTGTAGGATTTAGCCTTTTGCCAGGCTCCTGCTTTTTCTGTTCATCAAGCCTGTGTGATTACTAAAGTAAATGCTGAAGTTTTCTAGGATAATTTTTTTATGCATATATTATAGAGGCTACCTCTCACACACGCTGTTTTGTCTGCTTGGTGACTGCAGTGAGTCAGCTAACATACCTCAAAACCAGAGATTACAGTAAATCTCTGAAAAAAATGAAACCGCACAGTCCCAGGAGCTCTGGTGGTAAATGATGAGCCAGTTGTGGTTATCTTGATAGATGTTCTTTAATCTTACTGAGGGACTAACGTTAACAGCCTTCCTGTCTGTCTGTGCTTCTGCCTGCCCCCTGGGGTCTGGCTGGGGGACTGAGGGTTGAAATTTTTTAAAAAACCTGGGTCAGGGGCGCCTGGGTGGCTCAGTCGTTAAGCGTCTGCCTTCGGCTCAGGTCATGATCCTGGGGTCCTGGGATCGAGCCCCGCATCGGGCTCCCTGCTTGGTGGGAAGCCTGCTTCTCCCTCTCCCACTCCCCCTGCTTGTGTTCCCTCTCTCGCTGTGTCTCCCTCTGTCAAATAAATAAATAAAATCTTTTAAAATAAATAAATAAATACAAATAAAAAACCTGGGTCAGTCTTTGGCAGCAGAGACCCAGATAGCCCTGCAGCATGATTATTGCTACCAAAATAAGCCTCCTTTATCCTGTTGTACTAATAATAAATTTGTTTTGCTGTTTTTAATAGCCTTACAACCAGTAGAACTGCTTTGTCTCTGGAAGTAGTTCACATTATAAAATAGATCATTGTCATTGCTGTCTACATTTGTGGAGGCCTAGATTTGTTGCAATTAAACAGAGCATCTTCTGTGTACTCTTCAGACTGGATTCTAGCAATAGGATTGAAACTTAAAATTTCATTTCAAAGGAAAATGGGCTGGAGGCGACCTGTCAGCATCATTTCTTGAATTTATAATTACTGTAGTCTTAGAATTATTATTTATTGTAGACTTTGCCAGAACACTAACAGTAAATGACTTGCTGTATTTATGAGTTTTTTCAAATAAGAAAATTTAGTTCCATACGTAAGCCTGATGTACACACATGTTCATTTACTCAACAAATGTTTACTTAAGCCTGGTATATGTCATCACTATTTCAGATTGAAATATGGCACTGTTTCAGGCTGAAATGAAAATGACCTTATGTGCTTAAAATTTACGGGTTTAAATTCTATTGCTTTAGAATTTGTTAGAGTCTGGACAAAAGCCACGTCGAAGTTTACCCCCACCTTGGCTCTGCAAATAAGAATAGGTGGTTAGGAAAATGGGTGGGGTCAGAAGATGATCAGACAACCCAATCAACGAGGTTTTCGGGGGCTTGGAAAGCATCCATTTAAATGTACACGGTTAATTTCATAACGATGGAATATTCCTTTAGAAAACAACCCTGCTTGGGGCGCCTGGGTGGCTCAGTCGTTAAGCGTCTGCCTTCTGCTCAGGTCACGATCCCAGGGTCCTGGGATCGAGCCCCGCATTGGGCTCCCTGCTCGGCGGGAAGCCTGCTTCTCCCTCTCCCACTCCCCCTGCTTGTGTTCCTGCTCTCACTGTCTCCCTCTGTCAAATATATAAATAAAATCTTTTAAAAAAAAAAAGAAAACAACCCTGCTTTTCTAAACCCAGTTTTCCTCTGTGTGCCCTGAAAATAATAAAATGTCATTAAAATACTTCCTGATTTAGACTCATCATGGTTTATCATGGGATTCCAGTTGGTCTCATTTATAAGCTTTCACTAATATCGGAATGCCGTGCTGCCCAATTATAAATTTTATAATGTCAAAACCATTAAAACATCCATTTAGAAGGTCCAGTGTGCAAAGGAGTAGGAGGGTTGAGATAGTGGCAGACGATGTTTCTTATGGAGAAGGATTTTGTAGTCAGAACTGGGTGGAATCCGTTTCAGTCTTTTACTGACTCATCTCTGGTGTATCCTAGAACCTCTGCTGCTTCCATGTCCTTACCCGTGAATGTGGGAATACCAGTGCTCGAGGGATCTGTCCTGAGGATTATGCACACGCCGATCTTAGAAGTGTGTGACATAGAACAGACAGGCAGTCCATATAGATGAATTTGCTTTCCTTGCTTGCTTGTCTTACGATGATGGTTATTTTTTCAGAAAACAGGAGCAATCATTCAGAAGGACAGTAGAAAATGGGGATTTCTCCCTGGATAGCCACATGTTTTCTGTTAATGTAGATGACCTATTCTAATTGCAGGTTATATCCAGGCATGTAGAGGACTTATGATTGCTGCTGTCAGTCTGGGCTTTTTTGGTTCCATATTTGCCCTGTTTGGAATGAAGTGTACCAAAGTCGGAGGCTCAGATAAAGCCAAAGCTAAAATTGCTTGTTTGGCTGGGATTGTATTCATACTGTCAGGTAAATAGTAACTTTCTCCCAAACAAGGTACTTCACGATGTTAATGAAAGGACACTAACCATGATACTTTCCTTCTGATACTTTGTAGGGTTGTGCTCAATGACCGGTTGTTCCCTGTATGCAAACAAAATCACAACGGAATTCTTTGATCCTCTCTTTGTTGAGCAGAAGTAAGTACTCTTCTCAATCTGTCTGTTTCTAGCTTACAGGAAATGTATGCAGATTAATCTTCCAAAATAAAATACATAAATTCCTTACACGGCGCACGAAAGTGAGACACTTTGATCAATCGTATTTGATGACATCATTTCAAGAGTAAACATATTCTGTGCTGCGTTGGCAAAGGATGCATTTAGTTACGTCGAAGTTTACCCCCACCTTGGCTCTGCAAGGTGTCACGTAGAGTCTTGTCTCTAAAAAGCTCAAGGCACAGGATTTAAAATTCTAAACTTCGTCCACTGGACATCATTCAGTTCGGATCAAGTAGAGGAAAAGTGGAAGAGAGGTGTGAGCGGGGTAGGAAAGAATGATGATGTGTGATAACAGGAAATGAAGGGCTGGCCTTGACTGATGTCCACCCAGATTGATATTTGTCAGCTGCTGGTATGTGGGCCAGAGTCCATCATGGTTTCAAACACTGACATGGGAACTGCGACCTTGCTCCCGAAGATTAGAAATCTGTTAACGACATCTTAATGAAGTATCATTTTTTTCATTTTTAGTTAGCCTTTGAAATTAGCTCCTTGACAAGCTCCACCTGATAAACCTTTATTTAAAAAAAAAACAACCAGGGGCGCCTGGGTGGCTCAGTCGGTTAAGCGGCTGCCTTCGGCTCGGGTCATGATCCCAGGGTCCTGAGATCGAGCCCCACGTCGGGCTCCCTGCTCGTTGGAGAGCCTGCTTCTTCCTCTCCCTCTCCCTGCTGTTCTGCCTACTTGTGCTCTCTCTCTATCAAATAAATAAAAAATCCTTAAAAAAACAAAAAACAAAAAAACAACTGTACATGATGCAGGGTTTTTAAAAAATGCTCTGTAACGGCACAGACACCCCCCAGATATGACCAGTCCGGGTTGCAGGAGAACGGCTCGGCATTTACAGGTCAGTTTGTTGGAGGTGTTTGTTTCCTTAACTATGGGCCATTGGTTTTTACACTTTCCCTAGGCTTATTTCTTTGCCTTGGGAAAACCCCAGGGATACCAAATTAGAAATAATAATGTATGCAGTATTTTGTCTTCCACGACAATATACCCACGTACTTCCGTAGAAAGCCACATCTGCATGCATGTGGATAGTTAGCAGCTGGGCTGGTGATGCTCTTTCAGTCTTCAGGTCAAGTGTTACAGAATTTTTAAAAAAAAATTACTAAAATTGCTGGTTAGGTGTGCATTCCTTTCTTTTCTGGTGGATTTAAGAATCTTCAGGGAATTGATTTTTTAGTTCTGTCTTTAGTGTCTTTTATTCATAAATATTGGATGCTTATATAATGAAATATAATGAAAATAGTAGCTAATACATGTCGAGCCCCTACCATGTACCAAGCAGAGCATGGCAAATATTCTTCTTCTATTTTATTTTATTCTTTTTTTAAAGATTTTATTTATTTATTTGAGAGAGAGAGAGCATGAGAGGGGGGAGGGTCAGGAGGGTCAGAGGGAGAAGCAGACTCCCTGCCGAGCAGGGAGCCCGGCGCGGGACTCGATCCAGGGACTCCAGGATCATGACCTGAGCCGAAGGCAGTCGCTTAACCAACGGAGCCACCCAGGCGCCCATATTTTATTTTATTCTTGCAACAGCCTGATAAGGTAGGTTCTCTTGGTACGACCTTTTTGAAAATGAATGTGTGCAGTTAATGTGTGCAAGGGAACCTGGACTAAACCAGTATCGTCTGATTGGACTGGGAGCCAAACCAGGCATGCTTGCTCTGTGACGCATGATTTACAATGCTAGATTTCATAATTTTTGTGAGTGTATGCTATATATATTTTTCATCGCGGGAGTTTCTTTTGTATGTTTTTAAAAACTATTTTAAATTTTATTAAATGGGAAACAAAAATAACTGTTTTAGACCCCAGTATAATTTTTACTCCCCTGCCTATGTTGGAAAAATGTGTTCTGATTTATAAATTTTCTCTTAACTAATGTTTGATGATGAGATTTGCACACGTGTACATGACACTGGACATTGAGATGAAGACTGAGACCGTGCTCCTGAAGATAGGAAGCATGTTAATGATATTAAGTGAAATATAATTTTCCTTAAATGACATATTTTTATTTCGGATCCTAAATATACAACAAAACTGTATTTCTCATGGTTTATTTTATTCAAGACATTGCTCACTTTTATGGATTATCTGTTATACATTGCTGTCTTTATTTTCCTGACAATTATTAAGGATATCTTTGTCAGAATCTTAAAAAAAAATCGTTTTCATTTTTCCTCAAAAGGTCAAGGCTAACTCATATATGCCCCATAACTTAAGCCTGTCCTTTGTGTGATTTTTTTTTTTTTCCACTGCTTACTATATGCTCAGTCATCTAATTCAGTTTGGTGCATTGGAATTTCTGATTTTCTTTTAGATTTTGGTTAAACTTAGTTCAGTGATTATGGACTCTGAGAGGTTTTCCTCATTTCCATATTGTTGGTGCAACATTGAACTATCCCATTCCCCCTAATGACCTGTCGGCATTCCTCTCTCTCCCTATGCATGTTCTGTCTACAAGCTCATCTGTAAAATCAAGATAATAATGGCACTCTGCTCGTAGAGTTAATATGGGAATTTGGAGAGTGTGTATGTGTGTGTATATATATATATATATATACATATATATGTATATATATATATATGCTTAGAACTGATTAGAGGGAGCCTGGGTGGCTCAGTTCGTTGAGTGACTGCCTTCGGCTCAGGTCATGATCCTGGAGTCCCTGGATCGAGTCCTGCATCGGGCTCCCTGCTCGGCGGGGAGTCTGCTTCTCCCTCTGACCCAACCCCTCTCGTGTGCTCTCTCTCATTCTCTCTCTCTCAAATAAATAAATAAAATCTTTAAAAACAAAAAAGAACAAAAAAAAACTGATTAGAAAAGAGGAAACACTGTGTTCCCTATTACTGTATTGTGTTAGCTATTATTAAGATTCCTTTTTAAATTGTGTGTAGTAGTTAAGACGTGGCTTATCTTTATAGATGTTTTTATTAACTCTTTTCTGAAGTGACTTAAAAATGTAACACCTGCAATTTGGCAATTTACCTTATGTAATTAAAAACCCAAGAGCGAGGCGCTTTTTGAAAAACAACAGGGCTTATAAATCGGTGGTATTTACAAATAACAGGCCCTTCACACAACACACTGAGAGGAAATACAAACTTCATTAATTAAACTGCTGCATATTGAGAACACCTTGCAATAAGAGCTCACTCACATCTGCATCCCCAGCAGTGCCTTACACAAAGGCATACAGTCCATTTGGATGAAGGAATTATCAAGGCCTGAGAGTTGTAAATGTGATCAGCTTCTAATTACCCATCACGGTAGAAAAGAGGCATGAAAGGGGCAGGTGACCTCTTCAGGAATTCACAGGCTTCCTTGAACAAACGCACTTCTCTAAAAGCCAGCAAATCAACTCACTTGGATTCATCTTTTATCAACAGCTTTAGTAGCGGACAGAGAGCTGAAAATTAGAAAGATTAAGAAGCTAGAAATTGGGGGCGCCTGGGTGGCTCAGTCGGTGAAGTGTCTGCCTTCAGCTCAGGTCGCGACCCCGGGTTCCTGGGATCGAGCCGCTCGTCGGGCTCCCTGCTCAGCAGAGAGCCTGCTTCTCCCCTTCCCTCTGCCTGCCACTCCCCCTGCACGTGCTCTCTCTCTCTCTGTCAAATAAATAAATAAATAAATAAAAATCTTTACAAAAAAAAAAAGAGCTAGAAACTGGCTATCTGCACAAAATGAACGAATTCATAGGTCTTAAAGTAGAATCTTTAAAGCAAGATTTTGATTTGGCCTCAGCAGGCGTTTGCTAGAATTTAGTCTCCGGTGCCGGTCACTTGGTTTGTGCGTGAACTTAGGGATGTGTTGGAGAATCAAGGCTAAACGCAGGGCAGCCCTCGGTGGGCTGGGATTTGGAGGGTACAGCTGCAGGAAGGTTCTAACTTTCTTTGGTGAGAGTAAGCTCCTTGAGGTCAGAAAACATGTATTCCCTCACTGTCTAGCCCTGTGCCTGGTAAGTGAAATTCGTAATCTGTAGAGCTGGTCCTTGCAGGATTAGCAGGAAAGCTTTCTGTTGTCTCAGCCCACGGTGGAGAGGAGAGAGGAGAAAAAGAAGGCACACTCACTTGTCTCTTCCCATCTTTATCCCATTCCCCTCTTCCTAAAAGCAGCTACCACCAAGTGACCTCTCTCCCTGCAGCCCTAGAAGGCATGACTGAGGCACAGGTAGGTGCGTGTGCGTTTGGCCGTTTGGAAGGCAGTGAAGACAGCTGCTTGCCATGGGCTCTAGCTGACATCTCGGGTGAGCAAATCGTAGCTGCCCCATACCCGAGCCCTAGAATGCACTGGAAAACAGTCTGGGCTCAGAACCTGGTTTTGTTGTTGTTGTTGCTGTTTTGTTTTTCTTAAGATTCTGTGCTATATTAATTGAATCTTCTCTGTGGATTTCGGGGACATTCCTATGTAGGGCCCCACCTTGGTGGCCTAAGTTAGACACACGACTAAGCTCATCAACAAAGTTCCTACTCCGTTCCTACTATGTGCAGAGAACTCAGTAGGCACTTTACTGATGAGAGAAAACAAGGGGCTTCTAGTGTAGCTGGAGTAAAGATCGGGGCCATAGCCATGTAAACAGCATCCCACTGTCTGCTCAGTGGCTCTGTATTCTGAAACCCTTCCTCTCCCTCCACCGATTTGGGAAGTTCTTTCTCCCAGGCTGCTGTCACTTGACACAGTTGCAGTTCTTTCAAGAGTGACATCTGCCTGTGGTCATGTTCTGCCATTTCCCCATTTTTTTTCGCTTTTGTTTTGCTTCTTTGCTTTCATGCAAGTTGTGATTATGTTTCATGACTGCAGGATGGGCTCCTGCAAAGCTTTGGAAACGATTTCCCAACTCTTCCCTTTGGGCTGTTCAAACCAACTTCATCCTTTTTATTAAAATAAAACCTCCCAAATCCAAAAAAAAAGT